AAAAGAAAAGAAAAAGAAAAAACGGGCAAAACACTGGAATAGATATTTCTCAAAAGAAGACATAAAGATGACCAATAGGTGTATGAAGATACGTTCAACGTTACTAATCATCAGGGACATGCAAATCAAAACCACACTGAGTTGTTACCTCACATCTGTTAGAATGGCTATAATCAAAAACACAAAAGATAACAAGGGCTGATGAAGATGTGTTGATAAGGGAACCCTTGTACATTGTTGATGGGAATGTAAATTAGTACAGCCATTAGGAAAAACAGTGTGGAAGTTCCTAAGAAAATAAAAAATAGAGCTACCGTACCACCCAGTATTACTTCTACTGTGTATATGTCCAAAGGAAATGAAATGAGTATGTTGAGGAGATATCTGCCTTCTCATGTTCATGACAGCATTACTCACAATGGTGAAGTTGTTGAGTCAACCTGAGTGTCTGCCTACAAATGAATGGATCAAGAAAATATAGTGTATTTATGTGAGGGAGTACTATTCAGCTGCAAAAAAGAATCTTATTATTTGCAACATCATAGATGAACCCGAAAGACATTATGTTAAGTAAAATAAGCCAGACACAGAAAGACAAATATTGCATGATCTCACTTCTATACAAAATCTAAATATGTTGAACTTTTAGAAATAGTGAGTAGAGTGATGGATGCCAGAGACTGGGGGTGGGGACTTGGGGATATGTTGGTCCAAGGGTACAACATTTCAGTAAGGTAGGAGGAATAAATTTGCAATCCGTTATATAACATGAAGACTATGATAAATAGCAATGTATTATATTTTAAAAATCACTAAGAAGTAGAAGTATTCTCATCATAAAAAATTATAAATATTTGAGGTAATGAGTAAGCTGATTAGTTTGAGCCATTCCACAGTATATCCTGTTTTAAAACATCATGTTTGTACACAGTGAATATGTATAACTTTTATTTGTCAGTAAATTAGGCCGGTTGCAGTGGCCCACACCTGTAATCTTAGCACTTTGGGAGGTTGAGGCGGGCATATCATGCTTGAGGTTAGGAATTCGAGACCAGCCTGGCCAACATGATAAAACCCCATCTTTACCAAAAAATACAAAAATTAGCCAGGCGTGGTGTCGCACACCTGTAGTCAGCTACTTGGTGGACTGAGGTGAGAGAATTGCTTGAGTCTGGGAGGCAGTCAGGCAAGATTGTGCCATTGTACTTCAGCCTGGGCAACAGAGTGAGATCTTGTGTCCAATAAACAAATAATAAATAAAGCAAAATTAAAAATACAGAATTTAATAATAAGTCTCTTCTTCAACTGCCTTTTGGTTTGATATGGAGTATATTTATTGAATAATTATTTTCTACCCACATTGATTTGTGATTCCTTTTGTATGTTAAACTTTTATATAATGGAATCTGTTTAATATATCTATCTGTCAACTTTTGGTGCCAGCACATTCTTTAAATGAATTGAAGCTTTTGATAATGTTTTAATATTTTATAGGCTTAGTAGTTTCTAATTGACTTTATTTTTCAGAGTTGTCAGTGATGATAGTCTAGTTCTTCACACTTCCACATGATTTTGAAAAAATTTGATCAAGTTGCGGAAAGAGAAGTCTCCATTGGGCATCTTTTTTTTTTTTTTTTTGAAATGGAGTCTTGCTCTTGTTGCCCAGGCTGGAGTGCCATGGTGTGATCTCGGTTCACTGGGTGAACCTCTACCTCCTGGGTTCAAGTGATTCTCTTGCCTCAGAGTCTGGAGTAGTTGGGATTGCAGGTGCCTGCCACCATGTCCAGCTGAAATTTTTTTTGTATTTTTTAATAGAGACAGAGTTTCACCATGTTGGCCAGGCTGGTCTCAAACTCCTGACCCCAGGTGATCCTCCCACCTTGGCCTCCCAAAGTGCTGGGGTTACAGACGTGAGCCACTGCACCTGGCCTATATTTTGTTAAAACTTTAGTAAGATGTCCAACATTTTAACTTTTTAATAGTTTAAATCCTTTTTTGCTGTAAATGTCACAGATATATCTTCTATTATTTAAAAAAGATATGCAAAAGAGTAAATGATCCATTAACTTTGTTTTGTTTCAGATATGTTTCCTTCTTTTTGCCATTCTCTACATTGTTTCCTACTTCATCATCACAAGATACAAGAGAAAATCAGGCAAGTGGAAACGTTTCAATTAAAACCTTTATTAGAATGCCAGGTGGTCTAGGCATGGTTTATGGGGTATATTAGTACACTTCAGTGCGATAGTGTATTGAATATGGTGGTGATTGAAGTAAGCAGTTGTCTGCTACTAAGAGAACTAAAAATAACCTCCAGGGAATTTGACTACTCTTAGAGCCATCCTGTTAGTCCAGAGTCCTTGTTTATCACAATTCTCATGTCCAACTAAGAATAGTGCTAGGCTATTGAGTATCTGGGAAACTCTCAAGTTTACGAGGATATTTGGTTCCTTGTGAGAGGCTCTGACTTTGAATGTTTTACTCATCCACATTCCGTATCTTTTCTGGCCACTAGAGCATATAGTAGATATTTAAGTCTCCATAATACTATTTAGTATCCAATTATTAGCATCTTGTATTCTCCTTTTATTCTTTCATATATATCCTTATCCAGCCAGAGGGACTACCATATCTTTACTCTTTTTTAATGAACTTTGTGCTCATTAATTCAGACTTTTTAGGTCAGGGTTTTGTAAGTACTTAAGCAATTGCCTTACTGTCTTTTGTTAAATCTCAGCTGTTTTCTGAAAATCACAGGATTATCTACTTGTGATGTTGGGCTAATAGTAGGTGCTATGTGATTAGTTAGTTAATGATTCCTTGATACTATGTTATCAGTTTAAACTTGTAGGACTTTTGAGAGAAATAAGGTCATAGTGCTTGCTCGAGTGTATTACTTTAGTACTGTTACTTGGCTCTGTGACTGCACTGAAGTACCTGGTGGATTCTATAACCTCTAAAAATTTTGAAGGTACAGATTCAAAATAGTATCTTAGCTATTTTAAAAAATTGATTGGCATGGTTTCATGGACTATAGACACAAAAGGGGAGAGAGAAAGAGAGAGAATGAATGAATTTAAATGGATCATTCTACATGAAATGAGAGGTTGGTGAGTGGGAAACTGGAGATGTATGAGGTGATTTTTAGAGTAGTGCAGGACTGGTGGGAGAGTGATGAGGACTCTGCACCTGGCTGGTAGAGTGCTGGGGTTGGGAATAGAGTGAAATGAATATGGAGCTAATAAAACATTCTTTAAGACTTGATTTTCCCCATGCAGAAAACTTGGTTAAAAAAAAAAAAAAAAGACTTGATTTTTTTTTTTCTGAGACAGTCTCACTGTGTTGCCCAGGCTGGAGTTCAGTGGCATGATCTTGGCTTACTGCAATCTCTGCCTCCCTGGTGCAAGTGATTCTCCTGCCTCAGCCTCCCTAGTAGTTGGGATTACAGGCATCATCCTCTACCATGCCCAGCTAATTTTTGTATTTTTAGTAGAAATGAGGTTTCACCATGTTAGGCTGGTCTGGAACTCCTGATCTCAGGTGATCTGCCTGCCTCAGCCTCCCAAAGTGCTGGGATTGTAGGTGTGAGCCACTGTGCCTGGCCAAGACTTGATGATTAATTGGATGTGAGCACAACAGTGTATAAAAAGTAATTGTAACTATGTTCTTTTGTGGAACATTTGGTTGTAAAAGTTCTTTTCGGCATCTTGGAATTAAGAATGGAGATGGACTAATAGAATGGCCCAAATATGTCCTTGATACTGAAGCAGGTGGGTGCACAGAATTCTAGAGACCTGAGCAGAGAGCCTTGGAGGACATTAGGCATATAAGAAGAACGGGCCAGGAGGGTTTGTGGTATTCTTATAATTGGACAGTCTCTTTAACTTGTAAATTTATGTGGGAGGACAAAAGAGATTGCTGACAGGCATGAGCAAGAAGGAGGGTATCAGAGTGAAGGCCATCTGCTACTTAAAAAAGATGAAGCAAACTTTATAGATATATATAATTTTAAATACATTTTAATATATTCAATATACTTATATAATATATAGTTATATATAATTTTATATATTATATATATTTGTATATTATATATTATATATAAAATATATCACATATAATATGCATTATAATTCTATATTATAACTTATATATAAGTTAATATATAATATATAAAATATATAAAATTATACATACAATATATAATTATATATTTAAAATTATATGTAAGCATATATAATTTATATAGTATATAAAATCTTTATATATTATATAGTATATAAAATAAATTATGCAATATATATAATTACATATATAGTTAAGATACTATATATGGTGTAGAATTTTTTATATATATATATATATATATATATATATATATATATATATAAATAATATTTTTTGAGATAAGATCTTGTTCTGCCCCCTAGGCTGGATAGCAATGGGGCAGTCATGGCCTACTGTAGCTTTGACCTCATATGCTCAAGTGATCTTCCAACCTCAGCCTCCTGAGTAGCCTGGACTACAGGCGTGTCCAGACTAAATGTCCAGGCTAAAAATCTAATTTTTAAGATTTTTTTGTAAAAATGGAGTCTCCCTATGTTGTCCAAGGTGGTCTTGAATTCCTGGGCTCCAGAGATCTGTCCACATAGCTTCCTAAAGTGTTGGGATTACAGGTGTGAGCCACTGCACCCTGCCAATTTCTGTTTGTAACTTCAACAATAATTATGAGTTACTGATGCAGTAGTATCCAAGGTTATTTAGGATGGTTCAAGAGACTCCTTGCTACTATTATTAGTGACAAACTCAAATTATAGAAAGTTAGATGTGTTCTAGGTTTCTGAATTTTAATTTTATAGTAATTTTTGTTGGCTGTTATCAACCAGAAAATTTTATTTATTAGCAGTTTTATTGAACATTGTATAACATTTTACTTCATAGTGGTACTAAGTTTCTACTAAGTTTTATTTTCTTGAACAAATTTTAATTTACATATAGTAGTTTTATTAATCAGGATTTTGTTAATCAAAACATCCCATTCTGTATATACCATACTACTTGATTTAATGAGATATAAATTTGGATCTATGCTAAAACAAATACGGTGCTTTTTGAAAATTGTTTCTGTTCAATAATAGCCTTTTTAAGTTTATAGTTTTTAGTAAATTAATGAAACATTTTGTTAGAAGATAAAGAAATATTAATACCTAAAACATTTTTGCAGATGAACAAGAAGATGAAGATGCCATTGTCAACAGGATTTCGTATGTATTTTAAAGTTCTGTTGTTCTGTTTCTGATTCTTAAGTCATAAATTGTCAAAATTCAATTCTAATTTTTGGACAGAAATATGGAAAATATTCACGCAGCACATTACAACAGCTTGTATTATCCTTTTCTTCTTTCATGTACATATTTCATATTACAACAGCTTTAACATATTAATCCTGTTCTTGGAAAGCATACGTAAGCAAATATGTATGGATAATTGAGCACCGATTATCTCCTATTGAAATTTGCATATTTAAGGAGCTGACAGATTTTATCTTCAGGGGATTAAATGAGGAAATGGCCTTCAGTTTGAGAAAATTGCCTGGTCATAAGAAAGAAGACTCTTTGCTGTTTGAATAGTCTGCTGAGAAGACTGTGATGCTCTCGAACCAGGCAGCAGACATATCCTCTGGTTAACCAAACCTGCCTGCTGTGAGCAGGAAGGTGGGCCCAGACCGTCCTTCAGATTCCTTACGTATACCAGTGAGGTATGATAGGGAGGTCCTGTAATTTTGTTGAAGTATCATACTTGATGGAAAGCAGTGAATTCCTTTCTGTTAGTTTTTGCTTGTTTAAATGTGAAATTGCACAGATGCACCTATGTAGGAAAGTTCTGTATTCCAGGATTTTTTAATTGATACATTAAAATTCTTTTGAAATCTCAAATTTATAGAAAAGGTGGAAGTAGAAAACAAAGTTTTTTTCACTCAAACTGTTCAGAAGTTGCTCATCTGATGCTTCATTTCTTCAGGATATTTTCATGTATAATTCCTATAAACAGCACATTCTCCTAGATATCCACCATGCAACCATCAAAATAGCGAAATTAGCATAGACAGCAGTTCCACTTATACCCCATTCAAACTTACTGCTTACCCCAATAATGTCCTTGCTGTAATGAAAGGATCCAGTCCAGAATCACACATTGCATTTGGGGGTCATGTCCTTTAGTCTCCTTCAGACTGAAACACTTCTTCAGTATTTCTTTGACTTTCCTGACCTTGATACTTTCGAAGATTATTGCATAGTTATTTGGTTTTGTCTGATCTTTCTTCATAATTAGTATCAGATTATGCATCCTTTGCTGAGGAGGATGAGGGAAGTAAGAAACGGGGAAGAGGAAGAGAAAGATTCTATGTTCTTTCACATACTTGTGTACATGTGAAGATAAATACTTATACATACGAGGGAATAGTATTCTGCCGTAAGAATAAATGAAGTACTGATGTGCTGTAATGTGGATGGACCATCCTAAGTGAACGGAGCCAGACACAAAAGGCCACATAGTGTACGATTCCATCTATGAGCAATGTTCAGAGTAGATAAATCAAAAGCAGATTGTTGATTGCAAGGGGCTGAGGGAGAGGAGAATGGGGATCATGGGTATGACATTTTCTTTTGGGGTGATGAACATGAAAGAAAGAGGTGGTTGTACAACACTGTGAATAAACTAAACACCCCTGAATTGTTCACCTTAAAATGGTAAAGTTTATGTAATGTGAATTTCACCTCAATAAAAAATTAGTAACTCCCAGCTAATAAATGACTAGGCCTGATTTGATTCATAACTGAAAAATGAATACAAATGGACTATGATTTAGTAGATTTGGTAATTTATTTTAAATGACATAGGGAAGCTAGATAAGAAATAAAAATAGCTGTAATTTTATGTTGGAAATTCTTACTCTCTAGCTTTAAAACCTAGGCCCATGATGTTTTAAATTTACAGAATTAGGGGTTTTCGTTTTGTTCCTAGCCCTGTGACATTTGTGAAAATTAAGTGAATCATTTTTTTCTCTGTGCAAATTACTGCCTTTTTAAAACGTCACTTCTGCCACCTTGCAGAAGCTACAGTGAATAACAGACTGAATAAAGGTAGATATCCCGTCCATGTGAAACCTCTGTTGTGAAGGGCAAGTGAGGTGTGTACTTTTCTCTTCTCCGTTCAGTCTGTGTACCACCTGTGGTGGTAAATTGACTTAGATTTACTTACAGATCCATACTTTATAAATGGAAAGGAACACATCACTTTGTCTTTTACCCCTAAGAGTACATTGACTGACATTAGGGTGAGGTGCTGTGTCCTTATGGTAGATGGCCAGGAGCATCTTTACCTGCTTTCAGGGTAGCTGGCACAGCACGTGTGAGGGGTTTGGGTTTTACCAGTCACAGGTGGTTTCTGTATTCTGGGGATGTGTACAGAAATCCTCTTCCTGAGGGGCAGTGGGTTCAAATAAAGTGGTGAAATGGTTAGGAGAGCTGCAGGGGGAAGAGGGTCACCTGAGAGAAGGAGTCTGACCTAGTCACTCCCACCTTTCTTCCCTGTCTCTATTGATCTCTTTGTGTTTTGCTGTGGTAGAATGAGTGAGAACTGATGAGTTAGAGGGATCTGGGTTCAAATTCTGAATCCAAGATTGACTTGAGTCCAGAAGATACTGAGAAACATTCACTTTCTCTGTATGTAAAACAGAGTTCCCACCTACTTTGTAGTACTGTGGTCTGGATTAAATAGCATTTGCTAAAAAAAAAAAAAAAAAAATCTAGAGTAGGGTGCTTGATGCACGATAGACGTGAGATTAATGTTTCCTCCACCTTAGGATTTTTGACCTGTTTTGTCTGCTTAGAATTCTTTTTTGTCAGATATTCCACTGAATTAACTCTCTCACCTTCTTCCATTTTGTTTTGCTTTATTTCCCCAAGTCTCAACTTTTCAGTGAGGCCTTCCCTAAGGCCTCACTGAAATATTCCACACTTACTGTCCCACGCTTAATATTGAATATTAATATTCCCTAATATCTCACATTTGATATTGAAACCCGTGTGTCCTCCTCCCCATTTCCAATCCTCCTTGGAAATTGAAAAACACCACCTACAGGTGTTTTTCTGTAGCACATATCATCTTTAGGATATTATATATATACATATTTAATGTTTTATTCTTTATTGCCTGACTTTCTCCAGTCCAGGATAAACCCTCCTGGAGCAAGGATGTTGGCTTGTTGGTTCACTGTTCTCAGATGCCTAGCACAGTCCTGGCACAGGGGAGTAGGCACTCTACAAATACTTGTCTAGTGAGGGAGCCCCACCTGAAAGACCCACTGAGGTAGGATCTCTGAGACAGGCTTTAACAAAAGCTCCACGGGTGATCCTGAAAGTGCTGCTGCTTAAGAACCACTGGTTTTGAGTGATGTATTGGGAAGCCTAATTCATACAGCAAATGTTTATTGTTTAGCTGAGGTGAAGACTTAAGATTGAATGCTGGTATGCCAACATTTCACAGATGAATGTAAAATGTCACTAAATTTGTTACTTTTCTATTGCCCAGAGAATCAGACCTTTTGATGATATTTGGGAGGGTGTGAGCCAGATGCTAAATACGAAATTTTCTTTGTCATCAACACCATATACATTTTACTGAATAATTTTGAATGACTTAAATTCAACTATGATAAAATCTTGTTTCCACATCTACTTCTTGATTAGATATTATCAACCTGTTAAAGTTTAAGATGTAAAGTGGCAGGTTTTGCTTATGATTTGTTTTTTAATTAAAAATATATATTGAGATATTAACTCATGAAATACATTTTTATGGTAACCTGTATTTTGCAGTGGAGTTTTAAAAATGTGAGGTCTTTCATTTTGTTGATAACTACAATAAATAAAAAAGCATTTATTCTTTGTTTAAGCAACTTGAGTGTCACAATGAGTGAGGTGCTGAAAAATTAGGAAGAAGGGAATATTGTAGAAGTTGGGAAGAGTTTCAAGAAGGAAGTAGTGCTTATTAACTTGAAATGTCACAGAAGGTCGTACTCAGATTGCAGTGAAAAAGTATCTGATGGATTTGACCATAAGGAGAACCTTTTTAGTACTAGATGAGGAGCAGAAATCCTACTGCAGTGGGCTAATGAAGAAGTTGAGGATAAAGAAGTAAAGGTGTGATATGTGAGTTCTGCTTAGAAGCATTTTGAAAGAGCAGAAGCACCTGAGGATATTTATTTTAGGCTGATCGGCAGCTAGAGGGAGGATGACTGGTGAAGCAAGGCCCCTGGAGATGGCTGAGGTAAAGATAAGCAGGAGAAAGACTTCCTCCTTTGACAGATAGGATGGTAATTGTCTGTTGACAGCTCTGTCAGGTGGTAAGTATGGAGGGATTGTACCCCTTTTTTCCACTCTGAAATGAGATTCAGTCATTTGCTGGGAATGAAATGAGATTCAGTCATTTGCAGGGGCCATAGTAGAAAGCTCAGGAAGAGCCTGATTGTGTTAGTTTGTTTTGTGTTACTATAAAGGAACACTTGAAACTGGGTAGTTTATAAAGAAAAGAGCCGGGCGCGGTGGCTCAAGCCTGTAATCCCAGCACTGTGGGAGGCCGAGGTGGGTGGATCACGAGGTCAAGATATCAAGACCATCCTGGTCAACATGGTGAAACCCCGTCTCTACTAAAAATACAAAAAATTAGCTGGGCATGGTGGTGCGTGCCTGTAATCCCAGCTACTCAGGAGGCTGAGGCAGGAG